AACACAAGGGGGCCCTCGATAAAAAACCCACTCAAGCGAGTTTTAAAAATCTCTGCACAAATTAAATTTTAAAACCACAAATAATGAGCCTACTAACTGGAGAAACCTAGACCTCAACTTCACTAAAATGCGATCTGATAAAAATGTCACCATATCAAAAACAAAATACTCAGATCACAACTAATTTAGGTCAGTCATTAGCGCGGACCCCAACCAATAAGAGATTAGTCCGAGGGAGCATTCACCAAATTTTTAACTTAATAACAAAAACAAAGTGGACCAAAAACCAAGTCCAACCGATTAAACGGGAAGATTAAAAACAACACAGACCCCAATTTGCCTAGAACAGATTTAATCGGGGGCACTCGATGATGCACAAGGGTTATTCCTCTAAAAAAAAGGAGGAGTAGATGTAAAAAAGAAAGAGACAGGCGCTCCCCTTTTCGGCGACGGAAAAAAAATAAAAGGCGGCTAAAAAGGGCAATATACTGAAATGCTTTTGGGGGACATGGTCAGAGAAATAGCAAGATCGAATAAGCTAAAAGAATCCCTTTGGAGTCAAGAATCGCGGGAAGAACTTAAAAAAACCATAAATGAAATGAAAGAAACCCCAAATATTTCTTCACCCATGCCAAACAAAACGAGAAAAACGTCAGTATTGGGCCCCTACAAACAAAAGGGTCCTACACAGAGACGCAAGGAAATGTGAGCACTCAAGTCCAAAATGACTCATTTTTAGCAAACCGCTAACCAGACTGGAGTCGAGACAAAATAATTTTTTATGATAAGCCCCAAAATTTGATTAAACATGCCTACCGATGTTTTCCGCCCAAATGACTTCGAAAGGCGATAAATACTGCCCATGCCCTTGCCCCAGGGCCAACTTATGGAACCTGGTTCATCAAAACTGCAAAAAGCCCCTTCACGACCTTTTCCATCTATGGAGAGGGAGCATGGACACGGGGGTCGTCCCCCAGTTACTAAAAAAAACGACATAGCCCCACTCCCAAAAGGGGGGAGTAAAAAAACGCAAAGAACACAGACCAATAGCATAAACCCATATCATAAAAAAAAACTTTTAAAGGGTCCCCAGAGCAGAACCATCCATCTAGAAACCCCAGTTACAAAAACCCAGGCAACATGGGTTAGAAAAAGGTCGCCTCCGTCTGCTCAAATTTGGGTCACTACGACAAAGGGCCTAAATGCACAGAAGACAAAAAGAATGCGATGTAATATATACGACTTTGCAAAAGCCTTTGACAAGTGTGACCTGGCGTAATAGCGCACAAAAAGCGTGCTAAAGGAATAACAGGAAAAACGTCGAGGATCTATAATTTTTCACTAACAGAAAAACGAGAGTAGTCGCACGGTAAAGTCCGAGGCAGCTACGGGAAAAGCCCGTTCCACAAGGCACAGTACTCGCCCCTCTTGTTTCCCATCCTCATATCCGACTAGACAAGGAGTCACCACAGCACCGTGTCTTCCTTTGCAGATGACACCCGAATCCATGACAGTGTTTTCCTTTGCAGACACTGCAAAGCTCCAGGCGGACATAAACCCCAAACTTTCAGGGGGCGCAGAAACAATTGAAGTTAAACGATGAGAAATTTCAATTACCCGATAGGTAAACATAGGAAATTAAATTTAAAACAGATACAAAACAAATTTGGCCACAAAAAGACAAAAACACCAAACGTCAAAGACCGGGAGGACATGCGGAGGATCTCCCCTTTCAAGGACCATAACATTTTTCCCAATCGCATCTGCTAGAAAAATGAAGGATGGAAAATGAGAACCTTCAAAATAGGGAGGCCAACCCCAGATGCACTCTTGGGTCACTTGTTTTATCTAGGCGGGAAATATTCTGCACACTAACACACCTTTTAAAGGCAGGTGAAATTGCCGCCCAAAAAAAGACAAGAACTTTCAGGGCCCGGCATAACGGAGATAAAACACCCAAATTTACTGGGAGCGCTTGGGTTTCAAAACCTGTATTCCCTGAACCAGGAGGGAAGATACATGATTAAACACCTGGAAAAAATCCAAGGGACAGTACCGAATTGCACACGAAAACATCACTACAAAGCAAAGACTGGCAACATGCCCCATCCCCCCAATGAAAAGAGGGGTGTCACTAGCACAAAAAAGGGACCATACAAAAGGTCAGGGCCCAGTGTTAAAACTGCCCCCCAGGAACATAAGGGGGATTCCAAAAACCCCCGGGCATTTTCAAGCTGGCACGGGACAAGCCCCCTAAAGTCGTTCCTGATCACCCGGGGCTGGGGTTCGTACGTTGGTTTGCGTGCAGCCCGCAGCAACAGCCTGGTTATCAGGGTCTGTCCACCCGGAGGCCCGGTCACAGACCGGGCCGCGGGGGCGTTGACCCCCGGGAAATCCTCCAGGTAAACTCCAGGGACTTTCAATCCCTCCCAGAAGCTCTTGTATAATACCTTCCTTAAATCCTTTTTTAAAATAAATGCCAAGAAAAATTTCCGCCCCAGCTGGTAGAATAATTTACACAAGTTATATACACTGAGGATCTAAAAAAAGTTTTTTTGGCAGGGCGCATCTGCTTTGTTGCCCACCTCCCTATTAAAGAACGATAATAAAATTTGTTGAGTTAGGCATAAGAAAACAACTGGGCGTCTCCGAAAAATAATTGTTTGCAATCCTAATGGCGCTAAAGCAAACCCTAAAACACTGAGCTTGACATCATCTTTTGATTTATGTCATCAATGAAGGCTTTTGACTATAAATACCCCAAATAACATCCATTGGAGAAGCCGTATAGAATCAAAAATGGGGACAAAGGAATTAATGTACATTACATGGATCCCATCACACATTGGATTACCCCCATCATGTAAAGTAAAATGTTAGCCAAGAAAGTACCAAGAAGGAAATGTAAATATAACTTTGGTATACTGTGTCTAGCATTGGGGAAAAATATTAGGAGAAAGTAAAATAATGAAAATGTTGTTATAGGAAGCAAATTTAAAACCTGAGTAATCTATAATCCCATGATAACAGAAAAGAGAAAGTATGTTTATAAAAAAGCGGCAAGTGAAAGACTGAAGATTTGTAGTGGGCCCGGGTAAGGGGTTTGGGTTTCAATACTTTTGGCAGGTTGGTTTAAGACACGTGCAACATCTGGGATCTTTACGTAGACTTTTGCCCCCCAGTGGGTTTATCAAAACAAATTCTAGGGCAAACTTGAAGAAGTGAACTATTCTACTGTCTTCAAATTTTGTCCCAGAAATTTGTATTGATAAAGCTACTGGATGGCGAAACGTCTACAATAAAGATACCCAGATGTTGCACATGTGTCTTAATCTCATCTTGTCGGTATTATATACCATTCGTACACTACTTCTGGCAGTTTGGGAGACACACAGATGATGATCAAACTAAATGTATATTATGTGATCAGGCATATGGTCACTCTCTTGAACACTATGTGCTTAATTGTCCACTTATTGATGAATACAGAGACAGTATAATAACCTATGTGACATGTCAAGATATCTTATTAATGAAAATAAGATACCAGATATACTAAGCAAATTTCCTAAATTTGCTTGTAACAGATAAGTGAACTATAGATATGTAGATATCAATTCATATGTATTCATGTTAACCCCTTGGGGCCTAGTTCCTAGGCCTTTTGTGTATCCATATGCTCTCGCGCTACCGTCCACAGGATGGATATGGGGTGCACAATAAACTAGCCACTTCGGTGGCAAAATCTAAAAATCTGATCGCGGGTTCTAACCCCCCCCAGGGTGGTGGTTGGATAGATATGCAAGATAGATATATATATATGCAAGATGTCTTCCTTTGTGATGACACCCTTATATGCCATGACAGTGACCATCAAAGACACCGCAAGACTCCAAGCGATATATCTAAATCTTCAAAAGGGCCACTCAAAACAATATGAAGTTCAATAAAGAGAAATTTCAACCACTCATATATGGAAAACTTGAGAAAATTAAAACAGTCAGGGTATACAACAAATTCTAACTATACAATAGAGCGAAAAAGTAATGTGAAGGACCTGAGAGTGATAATGTCAGAGGATCTCGCCTTCAAAGACCACAACAATGTATCTTACCTCATCTTCATAGGAAAAAAAATAGGATTGATAATGAGAACCTTCAAAACTAGGGATGCCAAGCCAATGATCATTCTCTTCAAATCGCTTTTTCTGTCTAGGTTGGAATACTGCTGTAAACTAACTGCCCCTTCAAGACAGGCGAAATTGCTGACCTGGAGAGTGTACAAATAACTTTCGCGGCACACATAAGTATAATAAAGTACCTAAATTGCTGGGAACGCTTGAAGTCCCTTTGTTGTATTTCTTGGAATGCAGACGAGAGAGATACATGAAATACACACCTGGAAAATCCTAGAGGATTAGTACCAAACTTGAACACGAAAATCACTCCCTATGAAAGAAAAAGACTCAGAAGGAAATGCAACATTCCCCCAGTGAAAAGCAGGGGCACCACGGGTACACAGAGAAAACACAGTAAGTGTCCGGGACCCAAGACTGTTCAACTGCTCCCAGCATACATATGGGGGAATACCAACAGACCCCTGGTTGTCTTCGAGAAGGCGCTGGACAGGCACCTAATGTCAGTACCTGACCAACCGGGCTGTGGTTCATACGGTAGCTTCCGTGCGGCCAGCAGTAACAGCCTGGTTGATCAGAAACCTGATCCACCACGAGGCCTGGTCTCAGACCGAGCAGCGGGGGCGTTGACCCCCGAAACCCTCTCCAGGTATACATTTATAGATATATTTTTTCATTAATGTTAATTAATATAAAAATTAAAGATTTTGTACCAAATATATTGTACTAAACATATTTTATATAAGTTTACAATAATTTAATAACAAACACAATGAAATATATTTTTTTCGTTAGATTCAGAATGATTTTTGCAAAATTATTGCATACACAAATCTTCACCTGCATTATTTAAAATCACACTTACCTAAAAGACTAATAGCAGATATGGCTCCTCCAAGTAGAGAAAATGCTACAGGTACCGGCGACATTGTCCTGCTTCCCAAGAGGTACTCTTGTGTGGTAGCTCTACTGCGGCTCCTGATGCCGCTGATTACTCCGATACCGATGGATGTCACAAACCATGAGGCTGAAGATGATGTAGTCCACCGGTGTGAATTTTGCTGCTGGCAGCTCCTTTCCTGAAGTTCCTAGTACATCTTCCGTCTCCATGTCCTGTGCAATATCACATTTAATAGATTTTATATTATCATTATTAAAAAAATCATATCTGTTCCAATAATACTTATCACTTCTCTTTTTAAACCTTTCTAAATTTTCAAGACTGTCTCGTAAACATGGCCTTATGACCCTTCCGCACTGAAACACAAGAACACAAGAAATGAGGAACAATGCAACAGGCCCACTGGCCCATACTTAGCATGTCCATGTCAGAACCAACCCACCAACAAAAGTATTTGCCCAACCCATCCCCAGAGCCACCCAAGCAACAAGCCCCGACAACTCCATCCCCCCTATCAATGCGCAAGTCCCGCTCAAATCCATCCCCTCTCTCATAGAATACAGAAAGGAACAATGCAGCAGGCCAACCGGCCCACACTAGGCAGGTTCCTCTCAAACCCAGACCCACAAACAAAACCGCCTGCTACTCCATCCATAGAATAAACTCTGATAACCAGGGCACTATTAAAGAGGGTACTGAGGGAGCTGAAGTACCTGGACCATCACCAGGGTACTGAAGCACCTGGTCCATCACCAGGGCACCGAAGGAGCTGAAGTACCTGGTCCATCACCAGGGCACCGAGGGAGCTGAAGCACCTGGTCCATCACCAGGGCACCGGGGAAGCTGAAGCACCTGGTCCATCACCAGGGCACTGAGGGAGCTGAAGCACCTGGTCCATCACCAGGGCACCGAGGGAGCTGAAGCACCTGGTCCATCACCAGGGCACTGGGGAAGCTGAAGCACCTGGTCCATCACCAGGGAACCGGGGAAACTGAAGCACGTGGTCCATCACCAGGGCACCGGGGAGCTGAACCCTGGTCCACACCAGGGCACTGAGGGAAGCTGAAGCACCTGGCCCCATCACCAGGGCAAACCCCAGGGAGCTGAAGCACCTGGTCCATCACCAGGCACTGGGGGGGAGCTGAAAGCACCCTGGTCCATCACCATGGCACAGGGGGGAGAACATAACATAAGAACATAAGAAAGGAGGAACACTGCAGGAGGCCTGATGCACTACTAGGCAGGTCCTTTACATTCATACCTGACTTACAATACATTTTGCCACCAACCCAATTTTTCAATGCCCACAAGAAATAAGCTCTGATGTGAAAAGTCCCACTCAAATCCATCCCCTCCATCATGTACTTTCCAACCTAGATTTGGAAACGACCCAAAGTCCCAGCCTCAAATAAACCCACTAGGTAGATGTTCCATCATTCAACTACCCTATTTCCAAACCAATCTTTCAAATGTCCTTTCTAGAAAATCTAAATTTCTAATTTTAAATCCTATTACTGCGGGTTCTCTCTTGGGAGAGACATCCTCAAGACCTTATTAATTATCCCCTTTATTAATACTATCTTCACCTTATAACTTCGATCAGGTCTCCCTATTATTCGGTCTAACAAGTGAATGTAACTTAAGAGTCTTCAATCTTTCTTCATTAAGGAAGATTTACTAATGCCATGTATTAATTTAGTCATTCCTTCGCTGATATTTTCTAACGATTTTATGTCCATTTTGTAATACGGAGACCAGAATGAGCTGCATAATCTAGTGAGGCCTTACTAATGATGTATAAAGCGCAGTATGACTCTGGAACTTCTGTTGCTTACACTTCTTGATATAATTCCCGTAATCGATTTGCCTTTATACGTACAGCTTAGGCATTGCTGTCTTGGTTTATAGGTTGCTGAACACCATAACCCCCAAGTCCTTTTCGCCAATCTGTTATGGCTAAGTTCTACATCAGTTAAACTTATTAAGTACTAGGATTATGGGCACTACCAAGCTTCAGAACCTTGCATTTATCTACATTTGAACTGCATCTGCCACTTTTCTGACAAGATGGAGTTTGTTTAAATCCTCTGAAGTTCTTAACATTACGTTTGTTTTCTTATCTATCCCTACCTATCTTTGTGTCATCGGCGAATTTGCTTTCATATTCACTAGTAATTCCCTCATCAAGTCATTGTTATATATTAAAACTAAAGGGCCCAGGACTGATCCCATGTGGACTGCACTTGTTAACAGAAATCCCCACTCGGACTTAACCCATTTATGGGACACTCTCTGCTCCTGTCAGTGAGACATGACTCGATCCACGAGAGCACTTTTCCCCCAATTGCCATGAGCGTCCCTTTCTTTTAACAGTCTATGGTGCGGTATCTATCAAGCCTTACTAATATCTAAGTAATATAATATCAAATTCTTTATTGTGGTCAAACAGCCTCAAAAAAAGCTTTACTGAGAAAGTTAATAAATTAGTTAGACAAGACCGGCCTCTTGTGAAATCCAGCCCAAATGAGGTATCATTAAATACAAGCTATGGCTATCGAGATGGGCTTCTTATAAATCTCAGCTATATTGACTCTAGTAATTTGCTACAATTGAGGTCTGGCCTTATTGGGCGATAATTTGGACGGTAAACGGACTTGTCCCCTGTTTAAAATAGGAATTACATTAGCCATCTTCCACATATCGACACTACAACTGATTGAAGAGATAAATTAAAAATATTGAGTTTTAATGGTTCACAGAGTTCCATTTTGCATTCCTTAAGAACCCTTGAAAAAAACCTCATCAGGGACCCGGCGACTTATTTTTGCTTCAGTCTGTCTACTGCTTCAAACCATCTCATCTAGTGACTGTGATGTTACAAAATTTATCTTCTTCTAGCCACTGTAAAAATTAATTACTGGAAATATTGTTATATGTCATTCCCTGTGTAAAACTGAAGAGAAACATAATTATTTAAAATCGCAACTTTTCATTATCTTTGTCAGTAAGGTGCCATAGTTATTTTTAAGGGATATCTTATCTCTAACTTTTGTTCTTAGACTGGAAAAAACTTTTTGGGTTAGTTTTAGAATCCCTAGCAAACTTTAATTGCATAGTCCTTTTAGCTTTTTCTTTATCCCTTTTTAATGTCCCTCTTTGATGTCATATATACTGATTCATAAGATGACCCTCACCTCTTTTGATACGCCTTATAAACTTCCTTTCTTATGCCCTTAGTAGATATTGGAGCCTATTATTCATCACATTTTGGGTAATTTCTATTTGATCTATTTTCTTATATGGGTAAACGCTCTTGAGCAGCATGTTAGTGTTCAGAAAACTGTCAATTGATAGCTCTATTCGTTACCCCAGTCAACAGATGATAAGTGTTCTCTAGCCCATCGTAATCTGCTAAGGAAAATATGGGACCTGTTACTGAATTTCGGCTACATATCGTTCTTCCATTCATGCTAATGTGATTGATTTGTGGTCTGCTAGCACCACAGTTCCTCTGAAATTTCTAAATTATTAACAAGGGATTCATTGTTTGACATAACTAAGTCAAGTCAGGCTTTTTACCCCCTTGTAGGTTCTGTCACAAACTTGCTTCAAAAAACAATCCTGAAATACTTCTAAGAAAGTCGTATGATTCTAAATTCCCAGTCAAGAAATTCCAATCAAACAATGACTAAAGTTAAAGTCTCCTAGAATTACTACATTATCGTGCCTTGTGGTTGGCCTTATACATTTCCTCCCATAGTAGTTTCCCTTGGTCCCAAATCTAAGTTTGGGGGACGGTATATCACTCTAAAATCAGTTTTTCATGCCCCTCTGAAAATTCTATCCAAACAGACTCTGTATGTGTTACTCAGACTTAATACCCGTTTTTAGGGCAACAGTTCAAGCGATCTCGGACATACAATGCCACCCCACCCCCCTCTCCCAATACTTCTATCTTCTTGGAAAAATTTTAAAAACCCCTGAATATGACATTCCGCAGGCATGTCCCGACTTTTTAAATTAAACCACGTCTCAGTTAAGGCAAATACATCAATGTTACCTACACTAGAAAACTAATCTCACTCGTCCATCTTATTCCTAGCACTACGGCAATTAGCATAATAAACATTGAAAGACTCTCCTTTCTCTTTACCCTTCCTGCTCATTTCTGTTTTTCTACAAAACCCTATTACTGTCCTTATCACCCAAGGTCCTGGCTTTTAAATATCTATCTCGTTCTTATTATTACTAGTTCCCCTAGAACTCGTAATATTACTACACTGGGACTTCACTTTTTTCCCTGCCAAAACCCATACCACTAACTATTCCTAGTTTAAAGTCCTAACTGCTCCCTCCACTGCAGTTCCCAGTGCTCCCACCCCACACCTAGATAAGTGAATCCCGTCCCTAGCATACATGTCATTTTCTCCCATAGAAGAGGTCCCAGTTGTCTATGAATGTTACCGCTTTTTCCCTTTACAGTATTTGTCCAGCCAGCAATTGACACCAATTGCCCTGGACAACCATTCTTTTTCCAACTCCCCTCCTTGGCAAAATACCACATATGAGGGGGTTTCCCCACCCTTACTTCTAATTATTTCTATTGCTGACCTATAACCTGCTAATCAGGTCCTCACTCCTACTTTCTGCCAACATCGTTCCCTCCAGCACTGAGACAGAAAATAGGATTGCTCCCATTACCTCTCATGATGTCATCCAGACGGCTAACAATATCCCCCATCCCAGCCCAGGAAAGCAAACTCTCTGTCTCCTACTCCTGTCCTTCAAACAGAACGCCCCTATCCATATACCTAACTTGGCTATCCCCAACAACAACAATATTCTTACCTTCCTTAATGTCTTTCGTCGTGTCGTTCCCAGTAGTCAACTCACATCTCGGGTAGCACTGAGAATGTATTGGATGTTTCCACAACAGTTTCCACGGCAGTCTCTTTCTTCTTCATCGTTTCTACCTTTCCATTCGTCTTTTGATGGGCAACTTCTTTCCCTGCTGTCCAGCCCCTGACCAGTTTCCCTTCTTGACCTGAGGGCTCAAAACAGGAGGACTACTCCGAATCTTTTTGTTTTCCCCGGTCAGTCGGGCCCAATTTCCATATTCGCCAACCTCAGTTCTTCCTTAAGCTGTTGGTAAAGTTGCTCGATGGAGGGCATCTTGCTTCAATTCTAGAGAGCGCGCAAACAGGTCTTCACA